GACCTGGGGCTCTGAGATGGGCCTCTTCAGATGGGATGGAAGTCAGCGTGGCTTTGAGAGACGTCCTTTCACTTTTGTTTTCTCCCTTTCAGAAGCAAAATAGAAATTGTACGTGACTAAGTCACATAAAGATGAAGTTGAATGTAAGATACAATGCAGTTTTTCATTCCATCATCAGATCAATCACTAGAATTGACCCTTTGTTTATGACACAGTGAAAATAATCATTTCTGCCCAGGAATGAAAGATCAGTCTCCCTCATGCCCTTGCAGCGCTGGCCACAGGCACACTGCGTCCCGCAGGAGGTTGCCGCCCCTCCCAGGGCACACCTTCCTCCGGGGCCTGGTCCTCCTCTCTTGCAGCCCGAGGCTTGTCCTGGTCTAGGTCTTTATGGCAAGAAGGTAAAATGACGGGAGAAGAGAGCGTTTAGTGCCTTCACTCTGCATTGCTGTCTTCCCTGCATGACCTCCTGAGCCCCTTCCTCACCGTTTGTCTGACCGGCTAAGCTTCCCCAACCCCCAACGTCAGTGCGTCTCACAGTGCACACCTGAGAGTGCTCCTATGAGGAGAGAGGAGAGCAGGCTCTGGGAGGACATGGAGAGAGGGCTCCTTGGTGCTCCCAGTGCAGCAGGGGGAGCAGACACACAAAATGTCCCTGCAACCAAGCGCTCTGGGGGGTGAGACGATGCTGTGGGACAGATGGGAAAGGTGCCGTGCTCCAGGCTACCGGGGCAGAGGGAAGGGGAGCACACTCTCAAAAAGGAGGCAACTCTCGATTTTACAAAATGACGGGATTTTCTTTGCAGGTGGACGAGGCAGAGAAAATAGCCGGGCAGCGAGGCATGGCCAGTGGAAGCCTGAGGCGTGACCGCGCAGGAGGAGGGCCAGGCGGGAAGGCGTGCGGAAGCGAGCAGGGAGCAGCAGGGACGGGACCTGAGGGCGTTAGGCCGTGTTGTCTGATGTTGTACACAGACACTGTGTCAGAGACGTTTCTAACTCGGAGGCCAATTCACCAGATGATTTAATTGAAGCCTCACAATAGCCACGCGTGTTGGACAAAGCAGCTCTTCTTAGGTCACTGGCAGGCCAGTGAGAGGCGGGAAAGGCAGCGCCCCCTGGTGCATTTCAAAGCAGAGACAAAGCCGCTCCAGCAGGTGCTGTCGCGTCGGGCGCGATGCTGTCACAGACATTCCGTCCTGGCGCTGTCTGATTCTGGGGGACGAGAGACGGGCTCGGGGAGCTGGAGGTCGCAGTTCTGATTTAGCTGTTATTGGTAAATGTGAATTATCTAAAACATTTTGGTTTGAGAATTAAATATTTAAATGACACTTTAAAAAATACAATGTAAACGGATTGACTCATTCATAGATGTTTTCTTATTGGGCTTGACCCTCTGTTTGTGGTTAGAAGTGTGTTGTTTCAATGTCTAGGAGGTGTCTCTGTGGAGGAAAACACGTGTCATGTTTAACATTCAACATTTGCAACTGCAGGGAAACTGTTCTTCCACATGTTCATGGAAAGAGTCGATGCAGCTGATTCCTCAAACATGACAAGGTCTGAATGTGACTGACAGCACCCAGGGCCACCGGCGGGGCCTCCGGGAGCACCCTCCTGGGTCCAGTCCAGGCCCCTCTCGGGACCCCTGTGTGTGCAGAAGCTTCTCCCCTCCCTCCGCCTTCTCTCCGTCGCCCCTCCCCCACTGGGAAAGCTGATTCCTCATGACGCTCCTCCTGTTCTGAACAGCAGGCCTCGTGCCTGGGATCTCAGGGCTGCGTCCAGGAACAGGGTCCGATCTGGGCTCTGCAAAGTGCTTCTAACTGGCCCCTTCTCCCGGGAGGGTCAGCACGCGGGCACATGGCTCGGCACAGCACTGCTGTCAGCTGCTTTGTAGCTGCTGTTCTGTGCTCTGGGGGAACATAACCACGACTTCCCCAGGAAAAGCACAGCCCGGCGAGCCGAAGGGACAAACTCGGCTCGACATCCGTGACAGTGTGAGTTTGTAAACACAGCCCACAGACAGACAATAGTGTGGGGAAGGCCCGGAGAGGGGACGGGAGTGGGTGGAGGGGTCCATGGGGGGGAAAAGGGGGCGTCTGTAATACTGTAATACTTTCAACAATAAAGATAACTAAAAAATAAATAACGTTTAAAGTGTGGATTAGAGCAGTGGTTCTCAACCTTCTGGCCCTTTAATACAGTGCCTCATGTTGTGGTGACCCCCAACCATAAAATTATTTTCGTTGCTACTTCATAACTGTAATGTTGCTACTGTTATGAATCGTAATGTAAATGTCTGATATGCAGGATGGTCTTAGGCGACCCCTGTGAAAAGGTCGTTCGACCACCAAAGGGGTCTCGACCCACATGTTGAGAGAAGGCCAGGGCCCCTCTTCACCTTCCCATTGCGAGGAGCCACCGTTAACTGAACAGGACAACAACCTTCCTACGGCCAATGCCCAGTCGTCTCGGTGGTTTCTGGGCTCCAGGCTCCTCTAATGGAGTCATCGGCCCTGCGCCTCTGGTCCCTGATGTGCAGCTGCTTGCACTTGACCGCCTCCACCCACTTCTCCCCATGGGAACATGATGACTGCTCTAAAGACCTCGTGCAGCTCTTTAGGTGAATCTAGTGAGGAATTCATAAAGAAGTTCTGTAGACAGTGGTAAGTGACTGGTGATCATATAATGATCACTTTGGGCTTAAATCTGTTATAGAAACACAAGTGATTAATAGTAATTGTTAGGCCTGATCAAATAATTGAATCGATGTCCCTCCCCTGGGAACTGACCTTCAAGTCACTTCACAATGGACATTCTACTCGCTTAGACCACATCCCACTTGCTTAGACCATTATCTCTCTCCTCCAGACTTTCCCAGAATTCTCTGCCCAGAAAAAGCCCGCATAGAGTCATTTAAAAACTTCTGACTCCCCATCTTTGGGTGCTGGCACCATTTTGGGGCTCAGCCCATCTAATCCTGATGACCTAATTAATTCATATTTCTTCACCTCTTTTTGGCCTTGTGCGTTCCTCCTTCGGCGACCCTAACATTTGGTACTAAAACCTGAGAGGGTCCCATGAGGATGGGAGCCATTGTCCCAGCTTCGGTCAAGTTTGCTACTTGGAGAGCAGTAGGCAGTGGCAGCTCGACCTGGTTTTACCTCTGCATCCTACTCGGGTGACTCGATTGCTGGCCTCAATTAGGCCTCCCTCCCTTATGGACCCTCCCGCACCAACCAAGGAGGACGCTGGATCGGAAATCTCTCCCCCTCCATTGCTGGCCCTCCATCCCACACCGGCCAGTCTTCTCTAGGTGAGTGACCTTCCACAATTCCCCTCGTCTCAGGTCTTCTGCTCACTCTCTCTCACTGACTTCTCGAAAGTCTCTCATCTCAAAAGTCCTAGCGCTAGGCCAGAAGACTCCTCAGACATTCGGCTTTGGGTCCTTCTGGATTGGGGATGCCCAGTCCAGAGGGTCACCTCTCGTTTCTCGTGGTGATTGGTTTAGCAGCGAGGATGCCTGCCCTAAACAGTCACCTTTGGATTTGTGGTCTTTCACTCACCCTTCCTCTCTCGTGGGCCATGCCACACTCCCTCTGCACACTCTCGGGGGAGATCATGCCCAACCACCTCATTTTTTTTTTTTTTAAAACTGTTTGACCACAATATAAGCTAGATAATAAGTCTCAATGGCCTGAAAATGGCACTTTTAATTTTACCACATTGCACAAGTTAGATAATTGCTGTCACTGCAATGGAAAATGGTCAGAGATTCCCTCCGTCCAGGCCTTTTCACCCTCAGTCCCAGCCCTCTCTCTCAGCCCTGCTATACTCATCAGATCTTTCTCCTTCACTCAAAACACCACCCCCCTAACACTTCTGATTCTGAATCTACTTTTGAGCCAGCAGACCACTGACTGCTACCCCTTTACACCTCCCTCACCTGCAGTAAGTAGATTCCCAAAACCCAGACCCTCCTAACCAGCAACCACCTTCTCCCCCAGCCCCTGAGAGCCCAAATTCCAAGAATGCAAGCTCCAAAACAGCCTTTCCCACCTAACACTCGCTTGCAGGCCACGCAAAGACCACCCTCAACAGCCTCTTCTATTCCTGCGCCCATTCTACCCCTGAGGGAGGCAGCAGGAACTGAGGGCATTGTGGTCAATTATGACAAAATTAATGAAATCACTCAAGGCCCTGATGGGAACACAGCTCTCCTCCTCTCCCACCTCACAGGGGCCTTATAGAAATTGACCACCTTAGACCCCCTCTCCAGAGGGAGCCCTTCTTTTGAACACCCATTTTATAGCCCAAGCAGCCCCCGACATACGTTGCAAACTTCCAAATATAGACACAGGTCCACAAACCCCTCAAAAGACCTCACTAACCTGATCTTTAAGGTCTTTAATAATAGAGATGAGGAGACACAAATCCAAAAACAAAGGCGAGATCAGGCCAAGGCTGAAGCCCAGAAAAAGGCCTTTCAGCTCCTAGCCACCACTCTCATGAACCCCAAACGAAGTGCCGGTCCTCCAACCGATGGTAAGCCAGGGGCTAAGCCTTCTCTGGGCCCATGCCTCAAATGCAGCAAGGAAGGACACTGAGCCAAGTCCTGCTCAAACCCCCACCTGGGCCCTGCCCAAGGTGTGGAAGGGAAGGCCACTGGAAATCAGACTGCAGTCTGGCCCCTCCAGTTCAGGCCTCAGCCAGTCCAGCACGGCTGCCCTCTGGATCCGGGTTGGAGCTACCAGACCTCCTGGGACTGGCCACCAAAGACTGAAGCTGCCCAGGCCCTGACAGGGCCCCACAGACTTACACCACCAGGACAGAGCCTCGGGTAACGACTGTGGTGGCAGGTAAGCCGATCTCCTTTTTAACTGACACTGGGGCCATTTATTCTGCCCTCCCCAAATTCGCTGGGACCCTTGTCCCCTCCTCAATCTCTATTATGTCCCCTCACAGCCATTAGTCACCTCACCTCTACACTGCATCTTACTAGATACCCCCATTCACTCTTTTCTCATTTTACCTCAGTGCCTGGCCAGGGCCACCATGTATCCCCTCATAAAGCCCAGTTGTCCCAAACCACAGACACCTGCCTCAGTTTCACTCTCTCACCCCACAAGGCTGAGCCATTCCTTGGACTGTAAATGCCTCATCTCCTCCATGACTGTCCCCTCCTCTAAATAGGAAATGGTCTCCTTTCTTGGGCTCGCTGGATACTTTCACCTCTGGGTTCCCAACTTTAGTCTCCCACTGAGCAAGGGGACCACTCACTGAGCCTTTAGATTCCAAGGCCAGCATTCTCACCCCTTTAATGCTCTGAAAACTGCTCTCACCTCAGCACCTTCTCACCCCTCCACCCTTACTTAACAGTCCGGCTACTATCAGAAGCTGAACTCATTATCACCCAAACCTTAGCATGTTACTCTAAGGAAAAATGTGGCAGTTTTAAATCTAAGTGGCTAGAGGCCTGGAAACTGCCTTTCTAGAACAGGCTGCAGGGCCTGCTCCATCCGCCCCCCTCAGCCTTTTCTCCAGCCTCAATGCCTATTCCTAATTTTCCAAAATCTTCTCTGGCAACTTAAAAGCTTTGTAGCAATCCTGGTTTAAATGATAAACATCTAAATATTTCAACAAGTTTTAAGTTCACCTGATTTTAGCTTTTGTAACAGAAAAATCATTAAAGTACACTTGGAACTGTTAATATAATGTCTTGTGATTTGTTAAAGGTATGTTTCTTGAAAGTGAGAATGTTCATAAATGTCAGTAAGAAATGCTGTCTGTTTACTTTTTGGTTATCATTGGAAAATTCAGGTTTAAGAGTTGACAATAGAAGGCATAAGGCATGGACATGCATTCTGAAGGGAAAAAAAGTGAGTTAAAGTTGTAAGAATGTTTGTGAAAGTTGAAAGAAAAGGTTTGCGAAAAGTTGTAAGAAGATTTGTGAAAGTTATAGAAGGTTTGTAGGGAGAAATGTTAAAAGGAAGTTATATAAATGACACAGGCCAGAAAACCAGGACAAACAGAACAGGGAAACTGAGATAGTAAAACAGCTATCTGCAGCCATCTAGAAAACCCTATCTTTCCTAAACCAAGGGCACTTAAGAGTAAATGATTTGAGAATAAACCTCATTTTGGTATGTTAGACTACAACTCTCCAAAACTAGTGTCTCTTTCCTTCCACCAGACCATTTGTCATAATTCTTGTTCTTCTAGCTTTTGCCCCAGTAATACTAAAATGTCTAAAACAGTCTGTCTCTACCAGGTTACACACCTTACTTGTACTCAGAAAAAACCACCTCTCGATACCATCATAACCTCCTTTTGTGCTCAGGCCTCATCATCCCTTTGAACCCCAGAGCAAGGATGATGGGCCAGGTACAGTAACTTACCAGAGCAGAAAGCTCCAGATGCCTAGCAAGGGGCAGAACTGGGAAAGCAAGAACCTCACCCCCAGGGTAATCTATCCTCCCATTTCATATCACTAGTCAGGCAACTTAGACCCCTGATTTTTTCCTCCTTAAAGATAACATCTAGGCCTCAGTTGTATTTCAGCTCCAGGCCCAGAAAAGCAGAAAAACCAGACAAGTGATGCTGTGGCAGCCTCAGGACCAGCTTTTACCTCAAGTCACTCAACAGAACCGTTTTTGAGTCTTCACCAACCCGTCTCTTGGTGAAATCATGCTGGTGCACCCCTCCCCCAGCCCACTGCTTTCAAAGTCCATTCCCCTGAGATCTTGACGTCTCCCCCTCAGCAGGAAGTAAATACAGAAGATATGACCTTTGTTCCTAGTCCATAAACCGAAAAGGCTGGATGTTCGGTCTGATCAAAGAATTGAATGGATACCCCTCTCCTGGGAACTGACCTTTAGGCCACTTCACAATGGACACTCCACTTGCTTAGACCACATTCCACTTGCTAAGACCATTATCTCTCCCCTCTGGAGTTTCCCAGGATCCAGACCTGCACAGAGAATTCTCGGCCCAGAAAAAGCCCACCTTTAAAAACCTCTGACTCCCTGTCTTTGGGGTCTGGTGCCATTTTGGAGCTCAGCCCATCTGGGTATCCAGATGACCTAATAAATTCATAAATCTTCACCTCTTTTTGGCCTCGTGCGTTCCTCCTTTGGCGACCCTAACACTAATGATAATAATAATAGTCACCTGGGAAGTCCCTACCATCACTTTATGTGTACGTCTTTCATTTGCTAACAAGGCTACCAAGCAGGCCTTCTCTCCATTTTGCAATGAGTAGACTTAGTATTCACAACAAGCTCTGTCCAGAGCAGGGCCCTCCGCCAGGACAGTGCTGACATTGAGAATTGGGTACTTCGTGTGTACATCCTAGAAGTTTAGGGTGTCTCTAGTCTTAACCCACTAAGTGCCAGGAACATCCCTGCGCCTGAGCTGGACAACCAAGTGTCTGCCGACATTGCCAAGGCTCCAGGACAGCTACTCCCAACAGAGAATGCCTGGTTGGGAGAAGTTCCTGATCCGTCGGAGTTTATAAGACCAGGGTGTTTGAGGTTCTCTGTTGAGACTAAATCATACAGCCAAGGTCACATCCACGAGATGACTTCATTTGGATGATGACAGAGATGAAATCAACAATGAGAAGTCTTATTTGGTTTTCCAAACCCCAGTATAGTCTTCTGAACATTTATTATTCTGTTTTAGAGCAAATTGATACAGTATACATAAATCCCAAAGACAGACAGTACGTGACCCAGATGGTTGTGGGTGAAGCATGGCACAGTCTTATGTATCACAGGGTCTGGCAGACCCATCACCAGATGAGGAATCTATAATAATAAAAGTGTAATATGCTAATTAGACCAGACAGCCGAATGACCTTCCGGATGTCATTCTGGATGTCATTCTGGATGAAGCTGCAGAGGCGGCGGCCGAGGCAGAGGTGGTTAAGGGTGATCAGGCAGGCAGGTGAGCAGTTAGGGGCGATCAGGCAGGCAGGCAGAGAGGTTAGGGGCTATCAGGCAGGCAGGCAGAGGGGTTAGGGGCTATCAGGCAGGCAAGTGGTTAGGGGCAATCAGGCAGGCAGGCAGAGGCAGTTAGGGGCCAGAGGTCCTGGATTGTGAGAGGAATGTCTGACTTCCAGTTTAGGCCTGATCCCAGGGGTTCTGGATTGCTAGAGGGTGCAGGCCAGGCTGAGGGACCCCCCTCCCATGCATTAATTTCATGCACCAGGCCTCTAGCCTATATATATATATAAAACCCTAATATGCAAATAGACTGAATGGTGGAACAATTAAACAACCGGTCACTATGATGTGCGCTGACCACCAGGGGGCGTGCGCAGAACATGGCGAGTGTCAGCAGCAGGCAGCAGAGCGCGGAACATGTTGGGCATTGGTGGCAGTGGGATGGTGGAGCAGGTGAGCTGGAGCACCAGACCAAGGCGGGGCGCCGGTCACTGTCATCGGGGCGAGTCTCTGGTGAATACTGAAAATTCTTTGCTCCCATGTGCCACAGTCCCACTGGGTGCTCATACCTGCTGCTGGCACCAGAGCCACCACTCACACCCGCTGCCAGTGCCCAGCACCGGTCCCAATCGCTTGGTGCCATCAGCAGGTGTGAGCGGCAGCTGCTGGCCCCAATTGCCCCTGAGAGCTTCTCTACCTCCCCCTGCTCCTGAGGGGCAATCCAGGCAGCAGCCGCCGCTTGCACCCACTGCTGGCGCTGGCCCCGCTTGCACCCACTGCTGGCGCTGGCCCCAATCACTCCGTGCCATCAGCAGGTGCAAGTGGGGTGGCACCGTCAGCATGTTCGAGTGGTGGCGGTGGGAGCGGGGCTGCCAGCAGACAGGGGACCGGGGGCTGAGGCAGCAGGGGTGTGGAGGATGGGCTGAGACCCACCCTTGTGCCCACCACAGCCTTGCAACCCACAGTTCCTTTCAAGGTACATGAATTCATGCACTGGGCCCCCAGTGCTGAGAATAAAGCCCAGCCAGGAATGTAAGGGGCATACCTGAGTCCTGGGCTGCAGAGGCGAGCTGCGGGGATTGGGGACTTGTTTATTTTCATCGTCCCCTCCTCTCGGCTGCACCTTGTTAAATTTCATTGTCAGCGACTTGGACATTGGAGACGTGGTTCAGGAAACTTCTATTCTTCTGAGCCTGTCTTCAGGTAGAGAAATGTCCTTTGTTTTTCTTTTCGTTACAAGACAAGCCAATTAGTTGTTTAATCCGATTTTGTTCTGGGTAATTCTTGGAGGCAATCGTCAGGGCTTTGGCTTAAGAGCAGCAGGGCACATCTGCTTGGGCAATCTGATCTGTGTTCATGGACTTGAGAGAGCCAAAATGCCCTGAGAATATTTATAAGTAGAGGATTGAATAAAACGTTATCCTTGATCTGAACTAAATATGATCAAATTGCTAATTGGTGTATTTTTTCTTTCTCATTATCCATCTCCATCTATCTCATGTTAATCAAAGTAACACATGCAAATGATTAAAAAAATGGAGCATGCACAAAGTCCTACATTATAAACAGCAGGCACTCACTCCCAAGGGCCCAGCTCTAGTTCTGCCTGAGAAGTAGCTATTGTTTCTGCTTTCTGTTCTGGCGGCGTTTTTATTTTTTCCAGGCATCGGTATTTTATCGTTTGATTAGATTAATGGGCTTCTTAGAAATATGATGAAAAGTGAGACCTATGGCTTCCCACCGTAGGCGCCCAACGCCCCGCAGGTTGAGGAGCCTACACCGGAGTGAAGCAGGGCTGCTCGGCCAGCACCACCGGCCAGAGACTCAACAGAAGCGTGTTTCTCCAGCGCTGGAGGCTGATGCCTGAGGCCTGGTGTCTGCAGGGCTGGTTTCCCCTGAGGCCAGAGGGAGGGCACTGTCCGCCTCTCTCCCTGTCCTCACACTGTCTCCGCTGCCCGTCTGCGCCCAAAGGCCCTCCCCCGAGGGCGGTTGTCCTGGAGCGGGTCCCACCCCAGTGACGCCAATGTGGTCACATCCAGGTCCTGTGCTTAGCGCCCAGGAGCCCACTCAGCCAGAACCTGAGAGACAGTGTTTGGAGAAAATCATTTCTTACAAGTGTATGATTCTCTTACAAATCACTGAAGTAACATGAAAGCCATATATGCGACTCCTTGTTGTGTAGATCTAGATAATGATAGTTCCGTTGAATTATTACTTTCATAAATTGTAAAAATTACCTGCACTCCTACCCCGCAGGGGTCCAGCGGGAAGTAAACACAGAAGGCATTGCGGTCCATTGTGACCAACAGGGGGGAGCGCCTCGCAGGCGGACCTGTCACTTGCCCCCCGCGGCGCCTGCAGGTTTTGAAGCCCCGGGGACAGACACCCTGTCCTCACCTGCCTGCCTGGCGCTCGGAAGCAAATGTGCGTTTCCTCGGTTCTGCCCACAGCACACGCCTCACGGATGCTCCCTGCAGCCAGGCGTCCCCTGTGACGGCCTGGGCGAGGCTCCGCAGTCCTCCCGCCACGTGCCGTCACCCGCACTGTCTGAAGGCACCGCGTCTCTGCGGCCTGGGACCTCCAGGAAGCGGGTCTCCCCGACAGGAGGGAGGGAGGGAGGGAGGACCACGTCCAGCAGCGGCCCGCCCCTCTGGGACTAGCAGCAGCCTCGGTCAGCGCTGTCCAGCCCATCGGGGCTTTTCCGCAATCGGATGTTTACGTTTTATGCTAAGTTTGCAGACAGGTGTTAGCTGCCCAGTATAGAGAAGGCGGGTGTGCCCAGGGGCTGGAGAGTAGGCCTCCCGCCAAAGGGTCGTGCGACCGATTCCTAATCAAAGGCATGTAACCTGGGCTGTAGGTTGGATCCCTGGCCTCGGTCAGAGCGCATTTGGGAGGCAACCAGTCAAGGGGTCTCTCTCACATCAATGTTTCTCTCTCTCCCTGTCCCTTCCCCCTCCCACTCTCTCTAAAAATGAATGGGAACATATCCTCCCTAGGCCTCCCGCCAAAGGGTCGTGCGACCGATTCCTAATCAAAGGCATGTAACCTGGGCTGTAGGTTGGATCCCTGGCCTCGGTCAGAGCGCATTTGGGAGGCAACCAGTCAAGGGGTCTCTCTCACATCAATGTTTCTCTCTCTCCCTGTCCCTTCCCCCTCCCACTCTCTCTAAAAATCAATGGGAAGATATCCTCCCTGAGGATTTCCAACAACAACAACAAAGATACCAGCAAGTGGAGTGTACCCCTCGTTTCAGGCTGGGATGTATTTGCATATTATTCCTATAAAGTCATTCAAGTTGATGCTGAGGGTCCATAATACAGTTCCCACTTAATAGGAAGCAAGTTTGAGAAGTGCCGCTCCCTCGGAAGGAATGCTTAGGGCGGGTTTCAGACATCCCACCCAAGGGAGATTTTGGGTGCAGAGCACTTTCTAGTACGTCTCCAACCACGGTTTCCTCTGTTCCGAAGCTGGCATGGGCTGCACTTTCTTTTTTGCTGGCAGACTATTGGAAACAAACTACCAGCTAAGGGTATATTCCCCCTAAGTCTACTAAAGAAAGCAACATTTAACTTACTCTTTGAGATCCTTCTGAATTAAATTTTCAAAATCTGAATATTAATGGGAAAAGAGTGACCACTGAGTTATAATGGGCGTTTATAGCAGATAACCTCAAACAATAACTTAAATCAAAATAGTGAGAAGCTGTTTTCCCCAGGTTTTGGGGGAGTTCTATTTGCAGGGGAAGATGAGAGCTTGGCCAGTGGCCACTCCGCAGAGGTGAATGGCAGGGCAGTGGGTACTGAGAGCACTTCCCACGGTCAGACGGGAGGGAGCGCCGGGCTGGGCCCCTGCGGGCAGGCGCTGGCATCTTCTGCGAGGCAGAGGCAGACTAGCAGGCCCAGGGGCCTGGGGAAGGTTACGGGGGCTCCTGGATTCAAGGTGCGTGAAAAGCATCTGCTCAGCAAACACTCATTAATTAACAGGGTAACACAGAGTGTGTCTCTGAAGGGCACTACATTTAAAATACTCTGCTTATGGGCCTGGGGAAGGTTACGGGGGCTCCTGGATTCAAGGCGCGTGAAAGGCATCTGCTCAGCAAACACTCATTAATTAACGGGGTAACACAGAGTGTTTCTGAAGGGCACTACATTTAAAATACTCTGCTTACTAAAGCACATGATCGCATCGAGCACTAAACACTTGAGGTTTTACTGTTAGGTGCTTGCTAGCCCCCATGGGGCATACAGAGATGACCATCACATGCCCAGGGACACACAGATTCTTGAGAGAGAAGAGGCATCAACAATTACCATTCGGCGTCGGCCATGGAAGTTGTGAGCACTGTCCTCTAGCTGAGAAGAGCAGGCGGCCGAGTGTGCCCAGGGGTCAGTGCACAGCAAATGAGAGCAAAGCTGAAGCGGAGTTAATGCTCATCACAGGCTGCAAGGAGGAGGGACTCCCAGAGACCACGTGCCACGGTGGGACATTCCAGACCCCAAAACGTAGTCCTGTTAGTTACCCGTTAGCTAGTTACCGTATCACAGTGAGCGGCCGGCAGTGCGGTCACACAGTGCCCTTCGCAGGCACACAGCCAAGCCTCAGTAAATTACTGGTGAATATCAACAATAACTAGGAAGTACATACACAATTTTCTTTAAACTAAATATGAACCATAGTCCATATTGCCTCCAAAAGGAACCAAAGACACTGATTTAATGTTCTTTTCATTTTAGCAAAACACTAAGTTCAAAAAGTAAATATCCAATAAAACTTCCAAATGTATTTATTTTGCTTGAGTTGATGACATTGAAGGATCTTACAAGTGGATTTATAGCAACTCATACTTAGCGACATTTCCATCATAAAATATGTAGCACAGTATTTAGAAGTATTTGCCAGTGGGATGACAAATTTAGACTATTTAGATGTTTTCAGTCACCTGCAGGTGTAATGGGATTGGATGCAATGCCATTCAGCTGACGTGAGACTAAAGTGATTTTAAATATAGTATTTCAGTAAGTAGAAATGCTTATTGCTTTCAATTTATAATTAAAATGTATGAGCAGTGAATGTAACAGATATTAAGGGTGAAAATGCCTTCAGGAGATTGTTACTAACTAGTGGCATCTGTGACTAATGAATGCTATATTGGCTTAGACTGTGACTAATAGAATAAATGTTTTGAAAAAATCCTTAGGTTAGTATTTCATAAACAGTAATCCAGTCGTGATGAACTTGTTGCATGAATATTGGGGGGTAACTACAGAAGTTTCTTCTTTCTTTTACATTTTTTCACTAAGTTGCTAGGCCTGCTTCAGTATTTGGTTCCAATTATGGACTATCATTGCTTATTTATTGATCTTTTATCATCCAGTGAGCTAATGAAAGCACTTTGGTTAATTGAACATCATGATCTACTGTTATGTAAGGAGATTAGAAGTGCATTTCTTAAAGAAGATTGTCTATATACAATTAGCTCTCTGGCTAAGCTGTTTTCCCCTGGACTTCCCCCTATATTCTAAATTTATCAATGATCTGAACCTAATGTCTTAGGAATTTCTGAGCTATACCAAGATGTTCTTAGTCCTGATGAAAAATACACCCAATTGCTAATGAAAGTGGTTGTTGATTTATGAGAATAGCTGTTGGTTATCTCAATGTGTATCTCAAACGCCAATGTGTGTGAAGCAAATATATTGATCCTTGACCCAATGTGAGGATGTCATTGCTTCCCAACACTCGCATTGACCAACGGTGAAAGCTTTATTTCACTTCTTAGGCCTGAGGGATACAGGTAATATAGAGCAATTTGAAAATCTTCGGAGAAGGAGTATTATTAGTTCTTTAGTTAGAAGCCAGAATCTATTTCACCTGTAGGTTTGAGCCCCAGATTCCTACAGTCCGCTGGGGTTTTAATGTGGAATGTCCTGTGATCGCTTTCTGATCAATCTACTTAAAAACAAATTTATCTTCTTTATCCCCAATTGAGAAGCTTCTTCCTACTTCCTGTTTTATTAAGGTGCTATCTCTCCTTTAACTTCCCTTATGCTTAGTACATGGATGAGCCATTCCTTTCTTTGATTCTTCCTGCTGCTCCCTGTCCTTCCTTCTTCCTTCTCGTTCGCACCAGCATGTCTGAGCCCTGGAGCAGGCTTTACTCTGTAATAACTTCGGGGTTGGCCAGAGGAGGTGGTGA